GCGAAATGTCGTGTGAGTACATTTTTCTTAATATTTAAAATTAATTGGATCATCAAAAAAGAAAAACAACAGTTTTTCTTTTTTGAAGATCATAAAAGAAAAACAATTATTTAAAAATAATATTGATGATATTATTAATACTGTTAAATGATTTTTGTCCAATTTTAGCAGGCTGAAACATACACTTAACTAAACATACATTATTTTTTTCCCATACACACTTAAGGCAGAAATCACAGTGGGAGCTATTTTAATTTTGTTTGATGAAATGATATGCATAAAGATTTAAAAGCAGTGTTCGCTGCTTGTGGAATATGAAATTGGCTGTGATGTGAAAGCTACGGTGTATACTGTAGTTCGTAGGCCAAAATCTCTTGGTAATGGTCGAGACAATGTAGTCGACACAGTGAAAATGAATGGACAATTGTTTAGTATTGTAACTATAGTATCCCTATGACTAAACACACTTTTCGTACAGCACGATCTTTGAAAGATAAAAAGCAGCGTTGAATCTGGTCGGTTATTTGAGTAATGCAGTAATATAAAGTACGGTATGCCATATATACAGTAAATCAGGAAATTGTTTTAGAAGAATATTCGACGTACAGTATTATTATAATGTTGATTTCTCACAAATAATTTGATCATATTCAGTATAAATAAACGTAATAAGCATAGATTTATAATAGGTAGTATAGACCATCTCTGAATATATAGGTAGTATATACCATCTTTGAAAGTCCCTCTCTGGGCCCCCTCTCTCTCTCTCTCTATTGCAAATTCCTGGATCCACCACTGACATATCATGTTAATCTTCTCTACAGTCAATTAAAATCGATTCCAAATAGCCCCGGGAATATATATAAAAAAAAGTAATTGATCATATTTCGTGAGAAGAACGATTGGAACATGCCTCATTAATTTTATTGCTGGTACTAAGTAGTTGTATAACGCAATTTGACCAACTTAACTATAAAATAGTAATTATATGAAGAATGAAGTTTACGTATCAGAATAATCATATATGAAAATGTGGGTGTATACGTTTATGTGCGTCGTCAATACCAGACAGTGCTGTACAGGAATTACAACCTATACATGAATTTAAGACACAGAAGTAGTATGGGTTAAGGTAAGCTATTTATGCTTTAAGTTGTTTTATTCCGTAAATATAGAACACAAACTACAGGATAATTATTATCCCGTCATCTACTCTCTACTAAGTATCCTTAAAACGGAAATATCTTTACTTACTTTAAACAAATTTCACTTTTAGGCATTTTCATTTTTTAAAGCTTCAATTGTAGATTCTTGTGGATTTGTGTGAGAGAAGTCCCTCAAAGTCAGCCATGCTGAGCGGGACTTCCTGGTCCAATATTAATAAAGAAAGAAAAGAAAGAAGTATTTGGAAACGTACTGAGTACGATATTCAGTACGATAACATGTCAGGTAGAACAAAACATCACTCATATCCTGTCATATTTATTAATTTCTTCAAATTTGAGCAATGCAAACAGTGAATCATGATTGGAGATACTGCTCATTTTATGATGAACAATTGTTTTAGCTTATGTTTAGGTTGAGCTAATTAGGTCAAAATTATGCTGCAATTTAATAATTTAGTATAGGCACCTGATACTCACTAAGTGTCAAATGGGGCCCTGTTATGTTATGTTATGGTAATGAACGAATAACATATTATATTTTTGTCTGCATTAAAAGTATATATATCTGTCTCTTATACACATCTAGATGTGTATAAGAGACAGACCTATCAATGTGCAATTTAACTCTATATAGCATGCTAAAGCATCTAGGCTTTGCAGTCATTATTATTTAACTTGCTTCAGTACAACATTGTAGGCCTACATAAGCATTGTGATTACTATATACATAATACCTGTCTCTTATACACATCTAGATGTGTAAAAGAGACAGTAACATTGGTTGTCGCTTTGGAACTGGAATATATATTCCTATTGTTTATGTGGTTTAAGTTAAGCTTGGTTTCCATACAGCGTAATCGCAATCGTAAAGAAATTAAACGTCACATTGCCGATCGATTCACAGAACATCTAATGATGGGTTTTAATCAAATGTGTTTTACTTCTCGTTCGTTCGTTCGCATAAGTCCAAAATCGATCACAATGCAAGATCCATCTTCAGCCAACTTACAGTCTGTCTCTTATACACATCTAGATGTGAGAAGCTAACCAGCACTGTGAAATCAACAGGCTAAGAAGGTGAAAACGGCAGCGACTGAGGCAAATATTACATCGAAATCGCTGTTGAAATGGGCTTTGATTGTTGTTGCATTTTCATAATAATATCCTAATGACTTTTATAGCGAACTTTGAGCTTAGCTGTGGAACTGATTTTGATATTTAAATTTTTCTTCAGTTTACTGAAGCAAGAGATTAACTATAAGACCACATTCAATTTTCGAAGCATACAAATATTCGAAATGAACGAAACCGTAACTGACAATCCGTCAACTATTTTTAATATCATCAACGAGAGCCCTGTGTCTGGATTCTGTAGAATATTAACTCTGTTGATTGGTGTTGTCGCAATAGCTGAGAATTTAGTAACTGTGTTGATGTTATGTTTCGTCCGGCAACTCCGAAAATTACAAAATGTTCTGATCGCAAATCTTGCTGTCGTTGACTTTCTAGTTGGTGTAGCAACAACTTGGTTTGTGACGTCGCACCTATACCGCAGCTCATACAATACATATTCTCTGTTAAGCCTCAACTCGACCTCAAATGCAATGTTTTCTTTAATTTGGATATTTGCTGTTAGTTTGGAACGCTTCCTAGCTGTAGTGGTCGCTCCTCTTCGCTATCGGTACATTGTTAATAAATGTCGATTATTAATTTCATGTATTTTGATATGGCTATTTTCTATATGTTTCATGACCTGTATTTTGACAATGATCGCTTTTGGATTATATGATCCAAAATATCTACAAATCGTGTATTTGGTATATTTTTCAATGACTTGCACTGTCGGTATAGTGTATTTAATAATCTTTTCGTCTGTAAAATGTCAGAGTAAACGATTTCAGACAGGTTGTGTCTTTGGGGCTGCTCGGCAAGCCCGATTGAGGTCGCTTTTCTTTACGTTTGCTATATTATTTGGTATACTTTGCTTATGCTTATTACCAAATCAGTTATTCATGATGTATGTAATTAATAACCAATCACCAAATATTGTTTTTAGTCTAGATAACACATTTAAAGCTGTATTTTACGATATCAATCACATGCTACTGCCACTAAATTCAGCGTTGAATCCATTTGTGTATTGGTGGCGTATACCAGAATTCCGACAAGCATATACGGGTGTTTTCAGACGATGTAGGCCTAAATTAAAGTGTTGCTCTGTAAGAAAACGTAGTTCTGTCAACCTAGATACTATTACAACCAGTTTGTAAAATGATATTTTATCGACTCTACTGTACAATCATTTTCTAGATTCTAGACTGTATGTCGATTGCTTTGTCGAAATTAAGTCCTTATAGGAGGTACGCCTTTGTCCTCGCCTTCTGTAATGTATCAGTGAGTAAAACAGACAAAACAGAAATCATGGTGTTACATGAAAACGTACAAAGCTGAGAAAAATCGAAAAAAAAATTTATGATATTAATAGGTAAAAATGCTGAAATCATTAACCCATATAAAGATCTAGGTTTCGTTTTCTAGTTATGCTGAATATTGTCATAGAATCTTGTTGTTTAAAGTTCAATAAAAAGCAATATTTTTCATATTCTGTTAATACATGGAAACTTTTTTTATTTTAAGGTTTTGTTTATCCTAACATATGGATAGCTTAAGATAAATTATATGGTGATCGAAATTTAATGATCTTTCGTTTTCAAAGTTACATAATGTAATGTATAATTACAAGAAATAGATAGGAAATAAAGTCTGATAAATATTGTTTTGTCAAATTATTACTATCAATTATGCTTTCTTGTCAAGGTTGGTTCATTATTTTATTTTCTCTTTTAGTTCGTATTCTTTCATGTTTTTTTATGGTCAGGGGTGGCGCCAGGATTTGCCGGACGTGGGGGGGGGGGTGCGATATCCCGACAAGTGGTCAGATTTCTCGACGAGAGCAAAGTGGGCGTGGTCGAGCGTTGCTTAAAAGGCTCCAAATGGTCCAGGGGCGAAGCCCCCGAAACTTTTGACAATTTAGGCGGTTTTTCTCCCCGACGGGGGCCCTGGCTCAATCGCCCCCGCCCCTGCTGGCGCCAACCCTAGTCATGGTTATTTTCTTAAATGACAAACTGTTAGTAAATAAATAATAAATAAAAGTTGGTGATGAATGATTCCACGTATCTGCTTACTCTTGACTGATTTTTATTTTTTATATTCCTATTGTTTATGTGGTTTAAGTTAAGCTTGGTTTCCATACAGCGTAATCGCAATCGTAAAGAAATTAAACGTCACATTGCCGATCGATTCACAGAACATCTAATGATGGGTTTTAATCAAATGTGTTTTACTTCTCGTTCGTTCGTTCGCATAAGTCCAAAATCGATCACAATGCAAGATCCATCTTCAGCCAACTTACAGTTTATTCGTCCTGCTCTATCAGCCTCAGGCATGCCTCTTGGGGACTTGTAGACCTCACAATTATCTATGACTTGCTTGATGTTTTTTTTTGCTCTTTGCTGCAGAAAATTTATTCAAAAATATTCATAATATTCAAATCATATTATTTACGATATCATAATAAAATAACAATTTATGTTCCATTTTTCAATCCATCTTTCATTTGTAAATAAAGACATATGATATGTTATTACAAATAAAGTGATATTATTAACAAATATCTATCTTTCACTCATTTTCTATCATTTTATATACAGTAGGTCTCATGTGCCTGTTGTGTTATGCTTCAATACATGTTATAACATGTTTCCATTTATTTAGTGCTCTGTCTTTATTTATCATTTTCTGTAACTTAATTTTATATACAAGATCATTGATAAATATAGGGTATATGTCTGTAGCCTTTTCAACATCGGTGTTTGCTACCAAGAAGGCAGTCCTATAAATAGAAAAGGCTGCAATTGTGTGTGTTTCTTCTAATATTTGTTATTTTATCTGCAATTAGCTTATAAAACGTGAAAACCTCATGATGGTTAATACAAGATTTTATTCACAGATAACCAGAAAAGCTTAATCTCTTACAATCATTAAACATATATTTCTCATTTTCGACAACTCCACATAAATTGCAGTTAGGATTATCCCTTATTTTACACAAACATAACCTCTGTGTTGTAGGTAAAATACCATGTATCAATTTAAAGTTAAATTGAGCTAACCTATAATCTTTTATTTTGTTTTTTTACTTATTGTATCCAGACATTATTCCATTAATTTTTTTTTTGCCCAATGTTTTTTCCCTTAATAGACGAAGGTATGGTACACCTTGATTTTATAACATTGGTGTAGACATACTTGGTTTTTATTTTTCATAATAATTTTCATGCGATATTTTATGCTCATATTAGCAGCATGTCTCATTTTTTCTAATATATTAAACCAATGACCAGGTATAGCTCTTTTTAATTGAGTATACTCCGAAATCCTATTTTGCTTAATTTGAAGCTTATTTAATAAGATATCTGGGACAATCAAGTTATTTTTCGAATAATGTTTTTCACTTGTATTTGATTTGATGGTTTGTGGCTTTCCACAGTCAACAAATTTGGTGAGGATTCTGATCCCTATCTTGTGGAGGAAGAGCTTTGTGCGGCCTACACCAATCCCGTTATCTTCAAATTGATCCATTCTTTTCTCCCAAGTTCACATTCCTTGGGCTTGTTTGAAACTATTTCCTCCTTTGAAAATATTTTCCTTCTACGGTCTGCTAATAATTATGACTGTATACCGATCGCTTTCTTTATTATCATTATTATTATTATTAAGGCCATTAAACTTAAAATATGATATAGCCACACAATAGGATACATTGTTATTTCATATTCGTTTTCAATAAGGCAATTGATGGTAGAGAGGAGAAATTAAACGTTATATTGCCAATCCATTTAATCAAGACTTTTACAGTCTGCTCATAATTATTTTTATAGCGACCCTCTTTCTTAGTAGCGTGTCAAATTTTGAACTTACGTGTTTCTAAGTTCGTTATAAAGTACTGTATACACTTTGGTTACACAGATTTGATTATTTAAAAAAGAAGAAAATTTTGAAATAATAAATATTAGATAAAATTTATTACAATAAGATTGCTGTCCCTTATACACATCTAGATGTGTATAAGAGACAGGTGTATATAAGTAAAAATATGAAGGTAGAATAATGTAGGTAGAGGGCTCGATGGTAATCCAGAGCGAATAATAACAAAAAAGTGACGTTCAATAGTAGATTGATTAGACAATTTATTTGTACACCGATTGGCAGACGACTGACATTGCGTGCAAATAACTTTTAAAAAAAAACAATTCAAGCAGGACTTCTGATGTTGATGTTGAGATATTTTTCGTGATGAGGATTTGTTTAATGACTTATGCATTACTTGTATGTAACAGTAGACTGTAACTAAATACAGGTCTCCATCTAATTAAAGACCACTCCAATTACAACCCGCCTACAATTAAAGACCACTTTATTGTGGTCCCAAATGTCTATTATTCTAAGTAGAGAAGATAGCTGCTAAAGACCATGGAAACTCTGGTCCCAAAAAAGTGGTCATTAATTGGAGGGAAACCTGTAATAAGTAACTGAGAAAACTATGAATGACAGGGTTGACATATATTATTGATGTTGTTGCAGCAACATCCAAAAACTAAAAAAATCTTAATAGACAAAATAAATGATTCGTGCGTTTGACACTCTAGTCGTTGTAGCAACAATCTGGTTTGTGGTATCACGCCTACTTTGCAGCTCGTACGAGTCATCATCAATCAAAATGAATTACTTCATGTATATGTATATGATTCGCCTGCAGTGGATGATGATGAGTTATTAAATGTGGCAAAGACAAGCCAAACCAGTCACTCGTCGCAAATCGTGTTTCAGAGAAAATGGCTAAAACATGCTGGAATGTCAAATTTTTAAAAATCTAATTTATTGCACTAAACTAACCTTTATATATCTACACATCATTCTATGCTGTTATTTTCCCCATTTTCAATGTTAAAACAATACTTTTTAAGGATTTAAAAATAATTTCTGCATGAGAAATGCCTGAAACCATAAACTTTGACGGTTAATTTCTCATATATTGTGGGGTTAAATGCTTGTAACTTCATAAGGAAATGTCAGATTTGAATGATTTGTTTACCATTTTATAGCTATTATTTTTTACTTTCTAACACTGTATTAATAACTCAAAATCGATTTTTGCGACGAGTGACTGGTTTGGCTTGTCTTTGCCACAAATATTAATTTCCGGACTGGGTTTTCTTTGTTTGCTGTCCAGAATCCCAAATGAGGTGGTTTTCTTAGCTGAGAATGTTTTTGCACAATTTAGCAGCGTATGCTGAAGTGAGCGACTCGTGTTTTTCAGAGCCTTTCGTAGCCTTCTATGTACGACTTCAAAAAGGTAATTATAGCATTCGCGGACGTTGTGGTTAGACTGTGTCGGAAAATAACTTTGATTATTCAGAAATTACATTATATAAATACGCATTTATGGTTCTACAAAAATAAAGTTTTGAATACCAAACTGCAATGTTATTAAAGGTAAAATTGTTCATGGCTCTTTGAATATTCGATCTATCTACAAATTGTGCACTTGATATAATTTCTGTTTCTGTAAGACAGGAAGTGCCCATGACACTGAATGCACGGCAACTTACCTTCCAGGTCTGCTAGGCCTACTTGCCTATATATTCAGTCAAAGACCTGCCTACAATTACTTGTGTTACCTTAGATATCTAATTTAAAGCTGTATTTCAATAACTGAAAGAAAATGAATCGGTAAAATGATTTTATACTGTCAGTATATATATATATATATATATGGAATCACACTAGATTTTTAGTATATTTTTCGTCAGGTATTGCAATGAAAAAAATATATAAGTATACAAAATATATCAGATAAGCACGTGTGTATAAATTCCCACAAACTAGGCCAGTATTGTATTATTGTCTAGTTTTGAAAGATTGACATTTTTGTAGATCTTGGAATTTTGAGTTTGGGTTTTATTAGTTACTTATTGTCTGTGTTTAGTTTACTTATTGCACTTTGCCGTCACCGTCTATATTCTACATTCTACTGATATTTTATTTATCAAACTAGACCAGTATTATTATTTTCCAGCAAGATTTACATTGTTGTAAATCTTAGAAGTTTGTTTGAATTTGTGTTTTTACTGTAATTGAACTTTACCGTCGCCGTGTACATTCTACTGATTTTTCATTTACCATGATAATATTTCGGACCATTGTATTATTTTGTAATTATAGACAGGATTCAATAGGCCTATTTGAACTTGAGCAAGGGAATGAAATTTTCGAGAAAGCAATAGTTCGAGTCTCACTAATGTCGCGGTAGTTGTGAACTTGGTTTTCCTTGTTTTTTGTTTTTTTCTTCATAATTTATTATTTAAGTATTGTGGTGTTCCGTGTTTTTTTTTTTTTTTACTTTATACTTTTTTTATGCAATTTTACGATTACAGTAGTTCAACTTATGATTTTAATAATGTGGATTGCAGTAGGCCTAACTAATAATTTAATCACACAGTGGGCGACTAACTCATAATAGTGATAATATTTTTGTGATAGGAATTTGTTTAATGTTAGTCTAATTGTTGTTATGGAACGGT